GTATTCTTACATCAGTCTCCATACATATCAAAAGTGTTGAAAAAGTTTAATATGAGTGACTGCAAACCTGTCACGCTGCCTCTTACAAATCATTTTGTTCTATCTAAGGAACAAGCTCCTTGCAATGAACGTGAATTGCAATACATGAGTAAAATTCCATACTCAAATGTGATTGGTTCCATAATGTATTTGATGGTTTGCACTAGACCGGACTTAGGATTCGCTATTAGTACTCTCAGTAGGTACATGTCTAATCCAGGTCCTGAACATTGGGAAGTATTAAAGTGGCTATTAAGATACTTAAGGGTACGGTTGACGTAGGTCTAAAATTTAGTGCTAATAAGAAAGGTGTGAAATTAAAAGGTTTTGTTGATGCTGATTATGCAGGAGATATGGATGGTAGGAAATCGATTTCCTCTTACGTATTTACCTTATCTAATTCATATGTTAGTTGGAAATCACAATTACAACGCATTGTTGCACTATCCACTACCGAGTCTGAATATGTTGCTACCACTGAAGCAATTAAAGAGGCTCTATAGCTTAGAGGTCTACTTCATGAACTATGTCCTGAATGATTATGTGATAGAATAATCTGATAGTCAGTTGTCTATACATTTATGCAAGAATTCTATTTTTCATGAACGTACTAAACATATTAACATTAAACTACACTTTATTAGAGATATAGTATCTCAAGAGGTGATAAGACTTGAAAATCCTGTCTTTCACGAACGCACTAAACATATCGATGTTAGGTTACACTTCATTAGGGATATAATATCACAAGAAGTAGTAAGACTTGAAAAAATTCACAAACAGTACAATCCTTCAGATATGGGCACGAAAGTGCTGCCACTGGTAAAGTTTAGAAGTTGCAAAGAGCTTCTAAACATCGGTACAGGTAAATGATTTCAATTTTATCGGTTTTTCTGTTAGAGGTGTCACTAATGGAAAAACGTTTTTTCTTTGCAGGTCCTTTGACACCAAGGTGGAGGTTGTTAGACATTATGTTGTCAAACGACCCCCGGGCGATGATGAGAACCAATTTTTGTCAGTCGACATAAATGACTGAACGATAATTCAACATCGAATAATGGATGAACCGACCGAACGTTGCCTTACCTATTGGACGGCTAATATTCTTTGTGGCTTGTTGATTTCTTCCATTGGAAGTTAACCCTAGTCGAACCTACTTACCATATCCCGACTTACCTTATGTTGGCCACTTGACTTACTATATATATTGGTGTCTTTGCCTTTGTGGAAACCGTCCAAAATTGAAGCCGTGAGGAAGAAGAAACTGCCGTGTCCAGCCGTGTCTTATGTCTTCATCTTCTTCGTGATTTCTTCTCCACCCAAATTGCTTGAGTCTTTGTGAACCTTACCTGAGTGGTATCCATCCTAAGTGTGTGGATTTAATCAACCAAGCAAGAGAAGAAAGCAACCATAGGAAGAAGAGTAGCCGGCGGTATGGGTTCTTCCAGTTTGATGTTGAAACTCGGTTTTAATGGTTAACTGAGCCCGGGAATCAGCGTGAGCAGCAAGAGGAAGGTCCTAACAAACATTATAACAAGTCATGATGGGTCTCAACTGTAACTTTCTTGTGATTTGGTTTTGATGGTTTTGGTGCTCTGTTGGGATTATGCTTCTGCATGTTAACTAACGCAATAACATGCAGACAGAGTGCTTGTATGCATGAAAAGCTTGTAAACATATATGAGAGAGAGAGAGAGAGAGAGAGAGAGAGAGAGAGAGAGATTATTTATAAAAGTTTTATTTATAGATAAATTGGCTATAACACGCTATATTATACATAAAATAGATTCAGCTGAAATGAAGCTCAGGAAACTATTTGAAAAGGAATATCGAAAATAATTAATGATACACTTGCACCTGCATCTGATGAAAATCCATAATATAAATTACAATCGATAATAAGGCTTGTTTGAGCCACATTATTTTCAAAAAAAATCCTTCAATAGTGATGACATCATTTCAACCACACATTCTTCAATAAAATAATATTACACACAAATCTAAAACTTTTTCTTATTTTTTAATCACACATTTCCCATTGATTTAAATGCATTTTCTTCCTAGAATGTGGCTCAAACATGGGCTAAATCTACTTATACATAATACATGCATGTTTATGCATTTAGTCCAGTGGTCTTGTTTGCAAAAGAATGGCCAATACCAGGACTGTGCCCTGGTCCTGTGGGTCGAAAGTCATCAGTCTTTCCAGCAACGTTGTCCTTTTGGGCTGGAAAAGAGTGCCCAATTCCAGGACTCTTTCCTGGTGATGTAGGTCGAAAATCATTTACACCCATTGCAACAGAACTGTCGATTTCATGTTTTTGATTAGTTGGTGGGGGAATGCGCTTTTGTCCTACAATTTGAGGGGAAGCATTAGCGGGAAGAATAGCTGGAAAATCGTGTTCTTCTTGTTCCTTAAATGGTTTTAGTTGCCTTGCTTCGGTAAGTGAAGTTTGAAGGCAGGAAAAACCAGCAAGAAGGAACAGAAGTAAAGGGATATTCTGTATGTAGGCCATGAAAGGGAAGGTGGATATGCAAATGTTGTTCTTTCCTGCTTTAATAAGTCTGTGCTTTAGAAGAGGGAGATATATTTGTTGTTTTGGAGCTGAATATTTCGAATCCAGAATCGTCTTGGTATTTATAGCCTTGGGGTATCACATCATGTCAACAACTTAACCATTGAATGTCCTTAGTGAAAATAATAATAATGATAATAAAATTCCATAATGTGGTACTTTTTCTTTGGATGGTTCATATTAATTTCTTAAACCATTTAATTTATATTCGAATTGATGCAGTGCTCATCTCTTCATGTTAGGATCTTTTGGTTTAACTTGTTTCTTCTTGAATACCCGTTGAACGATCCGATAAGTTAGTTCAATATCATTCATGAGAACGAATCTTTCTCGAGCAGTTAGTTTCACACGATTAATATATGGTCATAAATATTGACTAATTAATATTTCACTTGGGAGTGAGATAAATATGGTTTATACGTGAGAGTAATGTGATGGTAGGTGGGATGGATATCTCCAAGAAAATATATTTGGTAAACTTTGGTGGAACTTGTTATAGACCTAAATAAAGGTTCCACGTGTTCACAACCTATGCAACCAAAGTCAATGTCTAATATGAGGTCACTTGGCAGAATGCATCACTCACATTTATTATGAGCTCCTTATTTGATTCTTACGGCATCTCCAGTGCAACCTACGGATTACAATTTAGATGGCATGCAAGTTAAATGATTTTTGATGTACGTGACACTTATGTCTATAAAAACATATATAAGTTTAAAATTGGTCTCCAACTGGTCGTATTTATGACCGAACAATTATTTTTGAAGTGTCTTATTTTTTTAAAATAAAAATAAAATAATACCTAAATTTGTATAGAGAATATAATTTTTGTCAAGTTAGCACGTCTAATAGAATTTCTAAATCTAGATTAAACTAAAAAATGTCCGTTTGTTCGTTGGTCCCATCAACTTGATAGAGTTTTTTTTTCCCCTAAACACTCTATTTTCTTTGTCTGGTAATTTCTTTTAGCAATCCACGGAAGCGTAGGAGATGCTCTCACCTTGATAATTGGCTAGTATACTCACAAAGAGATGTATCTAATGCTTAGCCCATATATGGGCTCCATTATTTTCAAAATATATTTTTTCAAAACTCATTTTCAACTACACATTCTTTCATGAAATAATATTATTCATAAACCCAAAACTCTTCCTTATCTTTTAACCATACATTCTTTAAAAAATCAATATTCTAAATACATTTTCTCCCAAAATCACATTCAAATGGAGCCCAAACATGGACTTAGTCAAATTATTAAGGATTTTGTGTCTTAATACATCAATTTGCTCACCTGTTTATTTACTTTTATGCTCTCTCCCCACTCACTCAATAATTTATTTATTTATTTATTTTATTTTATTTTATTTCTTTTGAGGCTTCAAACTCCCCTACCTCACCCCCAAAAACATAATGCATCTGGACTAAAAGAGGTTATCGTCCTTGAACATGACATAGTTGAGGACCAAGTTTCCATCGACTGTATGCTTTGCTGTTCACATGCTGCATGGGTGGTAATTATTCATTAATTTTGGCAAATTATATTTCTTGCACTATAAAAAACGAAATTAACGAGCATAGGTGGCTTCCCACTTAATTATGTCTACTTATAATTAATGTGAATGGCTCATATTTCAAACACTTTCGGTAAACAATTCGAAGTGAAAGACAATCTGTCTGGGGTTTAAGTTTTGTTTAATAAATGGTATGACTGCTGAATTATTTAGTGAGAATATTCCACTAATTTACAATCATGACAAAATGTATTTAGTGAGAATGTTTCTCTAATTTACAATTATGATAAAAAAAGTAATGATATTCATAGTCACCCATTGCAATACTCGACCTACGCGGCATCCTACATGGCTATTTGTGATATGGTACGTTAATGTGTTAGGTTGTTTTTTTTTTTCATGCATTAAATTACTAACACATAGCGAAAACAGTAATGAACGACTATAAATAGTATTATTAATGATAAATGGTATTTTTTGCAATACCAATAAATTTCTGCTTCCATACTTAGAATATAAAAATAAATAATCTTGCTGCTTTGAGAAGAAATAAAAAAGGTAGTATTCATTAATGGACTTTGCTTGTGACCATTAAAAGTGCCCGACCTTGCCTGACCATGGTGTCTAATGGATGTACTGGACTGGAATGACAGTGAATTGTATTTGGTAGTTGATTTGATCAACTTTTCATTGTTTATTTTATGGTACTTCAGCATAAAAAATGGCATCACTGAACCCCGAAGAGTCAAACTGCGGATATTCTATTATTCTTTTCAAAACCAAAATCATGATTTTTCATAGGAACACTTTAGCAGATTTGGCATCTATCTTTATTTAGTATACTATCTCCAGTTGCTCATATTACTATAGGTGGTATAAATGTGTAGTCATGAATATTGAGTCAACCTGCTTGCCAAATTATGTTCTGTGCTCTTCACTTCCTCCTGGATGATCTTAAACACCAATAATGGTATATAACATTATTCATTACTCAATTTAATCAGTATAGAATTTGCTCAAATACTTGTAAAATAATGGTATTTATAAGTGAAGTTGATAATTAGAATTTCATGCGTCTCTGTCACATTCTGTTATAATTAAAATACATCTCAATTTTATATGAGAACGTGACGGCTATCTAATACCATTGCATTGACTTTTTTGTAAGTCGTAGCAATACTTATATTTTTATTTGCATTGGGGCCAGAAATTTCTAGAGAAGCACCAAAGGCAGCGCATATGCAAGACCAGAGAAACCGCTACTTCAGGGGGAAAAAATGAAATTTTGTTGAACAGCAGTACTTTTGTTGAATATATTATTCTTACTCTTTTATTGTATGTGCGACTTTTTGACCTAATTATCATATATTATAATATTTGGACCTTTGTGTACAATTTAATTAATAAACAAAGGTTTGACCTGCACTGATTAGATTCTTTCGGTTGCTAACGACGGACCCACCAGAATCTGCCACTATAAGAGTGGTGGCAATAGTTGGACTGCTGGAGCTTTATGATGCTTTATTTTATTGATTATAACTTCATATGATTAAAAACGAAAGTGTGTCTTGAAGTTTGACCCGAATTTGTTTGGGTTTTGGTGGATTAATTAAAGTGGTGCCACGCTCGAGCGTCGTCGTGCTCCATCTCATGATTCGTTCTGCATTTGACGCATTTTTTTGATGTTATTTTTATTTTTAGGACTTGTATTAAGGTTTAGCATGTTCTCTATATATAGGAAACTCTTCTTTACAGTTAGAACAATTTAGACAATATTGTAAACACAATATCTTTATATTCTTTCTCCATATTATAGTCAGTTCTCCTTTTCCTCTGCCAATTTTCTCGTGTTTTGTTACTTTATATTGTGTCATATAATCTCGTCTTTATTTCCTAACATGTGGTATCAAAACGATACATAATTCTTGCTAGTTTGTTAATAAATGGTACTAGAGCCCAAGATTTAATTTGTTCAAGGTTTTATTCAAATGATAGCAACCATAAAGTATGATATTCTAATTTTGGATTACAGCACTAAATTTTAGTTATGACAGGTGAAGATACAAGTAGTGCTCGCTCGAATGGATTTGCACGATGCTTTATTAGAATTTGATAAGACGCCCTTAAATTGATCGATGGAGGAGAAACAATGCAAAGATCGAAATCACAAATTCATCCTCATCCTTAGAATCATATTCTTTAGGACCTTTTGAAAGAGAAAATCGTAGCTGCGTTATGATTGAAATTGGAGCAATTGTACATGATTAAGAGTCCAACTAGCAAATTATACCTGAAGCAACATTTGTATTCTCATCATATAGCAGAAGGTGTGTCCTTAGAAAATCACATTGCCGTGCTTAAAGAAATTGTCACTGGCTTGGAAACTTTGGATGTCAAGTATAATAAAGAAGATTCAGGGATGATTTTATTGTGTTCGTTGCTTGTTTCATACATGTAGTTTAGAGACATGATATTAAATAGTCGTAATACACTCACCATTGAAGAAGTATATGATACTTTATTTTCAAAGGACAATATGAAGCATTTTGTTTGATTTGAGACTCAATGAGAATGCCTTGTTGTTCATGATGGTTATAAGAGGGACAATTCGAAGTCTAACTTCAGTAATAAAATTTGTAACTATTGCAAGAAGAAATGGCACATAAAGAATGATTGCTATAAGTTGTAGAATAGATTAAAATTGGCTACAAATCAAAAGGGAAAGCAACAACCAGAAACTTCAAGTGAGGTCAATGTTGTCGAAAATTGCTACAACAATGGAAAACTTTTGGTTATTTCTGATGGTGACTCCAAACTTGAAGCGAACTGAATTCTTGATACTGCTTGCATTTTTCATATATGTCCAAATCGAGATTCGTTTTCAATATATTAAACAGTTTTAAAAGGTGTTGTGGTAATGGGTAACTATGAACCCTATAAGATAGCTGATATTGAAAAGTCATAATTAAGATATTTGATGGGACAGTTAGAATACTTGATAAGGTGAGATACGTTCCATATTTAAAGAGAAATCTTATCTTCTTGAGTATTTTTTATACAAAAAGGTACAAGCTCAGTGGTGAATGAGGAGCTTTGAAGGTTAGTGATGGTGTCTGTATTGTCTTACAAGATTTTGTAGAATCTTTGAAGATCAATTAGCAAAGGTTTGGTACTTTTGTGGATATTCGATTGGATACATTACCATTGGAACTTGATTTAGGTGTCATCACATTCAAAAGCACAGGGAATCTGATTTAATTGCATATGCTTTAAGCATAGTTGAAATTGTTGAGTCTAACGAAGAAACTTCTACAGAAACATTTTGTGGTGTTGATTCTGTTTCGTGGCGTGTTTCGGTCCTGTTTGGCAACTTTTGAATTATTTATGATTTTATTTCTCGTAGTGATAATTCGAGTAAATTTTCAGAACCCAAGATAATTCTGCTAAGCAGTTTTAGGATTCATTTATCCTAACTAGATTTTGTGAAAGATGTGGAGA